CTAATAGGTCATTCCGAAGTAATTTCGTTTTCTAAACGGACGCCACATGTGATGGAACTAAAGTTTCTAAGAGATCTTGAAGGTATTCGATGCAGAATTTCGTCCCCTTTTAAACGATTATAAAATTATTGCAGCATAGTCAATGAGCTTTCAGAAAATAACCAAAAACTGCGACCCATGTTTTTTGAGATGGTCATTTCACAATTTTTTAAAACTTTCATATCAATCCTCAGAAGGAATTCAAGTAACGACTCGATAGAGTAAAACTTATAGAATACAGGCTTCTTTTTTCTCTTTCTCGTAGCTCGCCATAATATTTTAAAAAGATTTTTTAACAGAACTATCGGATTTTTGGCAGGCCCACCTCAGCCACAATTGCATCAACATCATAATTTTTCGGAATTTGAGGCTACCAAGATGGTACTATGACTTAGCATTAATTCTACAAAGCAAATGAGGGTTTACGGGTTCGAAATATGTAACAACCTAGCAAGTAAAGACGCATTTGCCTTATGAACAAAAACATCTCGTTTACCCCGCGACTAAAAATCACAATGTAAACAAAAAAAAAAAGAAAAGTAGTGAGGGGCTCATCAAGCTTTCGTATCGCTAGTAGTGCAATGCATTAATCTTTACTTCTGAGTATTCACCAGCAAGCAAAGTCCTCTTCCGAGTGATTTTCCCCTCTGTAAGCTTGTGCGACGTCTCCTTCGCTCACAACGTATTTTTCTGTTTTGTAATTGTAGGAATTTGCCAAAAGTACATTGATAACCGACTGGTCGTATCTGAAACACGAACATGATCAGAAATTAAGTATAGTATATCGACTGAAAGTTCGCATATGGCTATTTTAGTTGCTGCTGCACCTGGGCCGGCAGTAACCTCCCGCCTGACTGCGGGTCTCGCCGGCACCTCGCCGGCACTTTGCCGCGAGGTCGTCAGAAGCTAAAATCCCGGCACTTTGCCGTGAGGTCGTCAGAAGCTAAAATCCCAAGTTTAGGCCTTTTTAGGCTTTTTTCCAAGAAATCTTTTGGATGAAGGTGCCAACACGACTCTATAGAGACACGCTCAAAACACTTGAAGTTTCAGGAAGCTTCTAGTGTGAAAGTATTTGGATGCGCCGGAGGAGTGCCGGCTTCTCGTCGAAATTTGTGAGATGGCAGCTGTTGGCAGGTCAGAGAACACGAAAAATGGCATGTTCAGGGCCCGGCGGGGGGTGGCGCATTCACAAGCTGGCTGTCGTTTTTGCTCGAAAAAGCAAAGGGGAAGTCGTATTTTGGGGACTGGGACGGAGCCCCGGACCCCAAAATACGACTTCCCCTTTGTTTACCGAAAAACAATGCACATATCATTCTTTGTTCATGATTCCTTGTTGATGCCACTGTCCTATGAACATAGATTCCAGCAATGTGAAGATTCTGTGCTACGATCGCTAGCCTGCCCGCAGGCGGGAAATTTAAATCGCAATTTTTGTAAGAGGAAAATAAGAAAATAGGCTCGTTTTCAATGCACAAAACGATATGGCACCAAATTTGCTGTGTAGTTGGATCACCATGAGCACAAAAAAAGCATGAAGAATTATGAGAAACTTAAGTGAATTTAAAAAATGGTAAGTGTTTTTCGAAATTAGGTGGCTCCCATCTTCCGTTCACATAATTTCCCGGATTTCTTTACATAAATGTGGACTAGGTCGAGAGTATTACTATATGTTCAAATCCGCTTCCAAGACCACCAAGGCACCGCTTCGATACAGCCCTAAATAGAGTTCACAGCGTTATGATCGGCCTCGGAAAGTGCGCTCCAATCGCAATCGGTTATTGTAAACTGTAAAGTTTCGCGCTGACTAATAAATGAGTAGTATCTTACATTAGATACATAAACGTCAAAGTTTGTGCAAATCTTGACCCTATGTTTTTTTATAGATTCCTTTGCGGATAAACCCATTGAGCTGAAAGCCAGGTAGTACTACTATGATAAGCGCTGAGGCCGCCCATCTTAATATTTGTGTATATCTGTTTGTCAGGGACTTACGGGGGTCAAAAATAGGTTAAAAGGGGAAGTCGTAAGAATTTTGGCTTCAAAGGGGATATCGTTTTCGAAATTCTGAAACGCCACCTCCTTCCGGGCCTTGGGCATGCTCTCTTTGAAGCGAAGTTGACAACATTTTGACGTGCCCATACCATGTTAGGGTGTTGGCACCTTCCCGACGGCGTTTGTGAAGCTGGGTAATGTGACAATATGACACAAACGTCAGGCGAAAGAATCAGAAAATCTCACTTTTTATAAAAAAAACTTTTATTTTTCTTATTACGCGAGTTTTCCGCTCTTGAGTCGATGTTATTATTACAGAAGGAAATTCATTCATATCACAAAACCGTAAACAACACTTTTTTGCAAGCCCCTTCCAAATCTCGTTTGCACTGACTTCGCCCCTCTCTTGCTCATACCAATCAGCTGTTCTTTCAGGTCAAAATGTTTCTCACGCAATGTAATCATGCACCCACTCTCCTTTGCATTTCTTACTGCTGGTGCAAACGACAGCCATTAACCAAGTGGTCGAATGATTAGTGCGGCGGCACTTGTAGTTTACAGCTGCAGGTTCAAAAGCTCTTCATAACACTGTTTTGCGGCTGCTTGCATCGGCAAAATTTCATGTGCGGATTGCGGACTAAGATTGTATAAGATTCTTGGAATCTACAAAACCCTCGATTGCCGCCGGAGTTGGCAACTTCCCGCCATGTGTGCTAACTTGTCGGCATTTCGATGCCATCAGTCAAAGTAGATTAGGGTGGATTACTACTGGCCCTGGTGTCGCTGAGAGCGTTTGCGTAAGTGGGCTACCTATTATTTAGCAATTGTGATAATTGTGATTTATCGGATAGGAGTTCAAAAACCAGCATTATGCATTGCTCACAGTTGCTACCTCCACGGTTTATTTTACTTAGCTTCAAATTGACTTTGTACTTGTGTCAGCGTAAATAAAAACATTTCAAAGATTTCGCTGATTACAGTATGTGAAAACAAACCGGTGGCAGTATGCGTAGTCCTTGAGCATGTCATTTCCAAAAGTGCACGGAAGGTTTGCTCCTGGAGGTGCCATACAATTTTTCTCAAGAGCACACAAAACTGACCTGGTACAGATATCATAAACTTTCTGGCAACATTCGTATAGGTCGATTACCATTTCATCAGCTCAACAGTATCGGCAGTCCTGACAATAAAGGCAAACGCAGCGGAGTAGCATAAAGTCTCTTCCAGTTTCTTGATATTCGTCGGTAGATACTTGTACAATGCTCAAGTAAAAGTTTCGCAAAGTAGCTGATGAGCTACTCGACAGTTGCTGGGCAGGATAATTACCGACAAACAAGAAAACATTCTCTGCTAACTTTTTGCATTCCCCAGAGCTCTACAAGAGATTCCAGAAACTTCCGCTGGGAAACTTGGTGCTTCCGATTCTACCTGAGATGCCGCACATGACTTCATCTTTTTAACTATGCAAGAAATGAAGCAGTATGGTAGATAATGATCGCCAATATTTATAGTACAGAGAGCGGAAAGCAGAAAATTGGCTATCTGTTTTTTTGGTCCCTCAGTTTAACATGAAGCCAATGCTGTTCGTCAAATTGCCCGAAGATGATAATTCTCTAGAGCTAGATTTCAGGGGCAAATTGGATGGTAATGTACCTCCTGGTCAAGCCTCGCAGAACGCTTTTGTTGACGTTTGCCTGCGAAACCATACCTTGTCATGAAGAAAAACAATAGACTTGTATTACGCCTTCTCAGCGATGTGGCTTCTCTCAGACGATGCAGTTGAGTTGCGCATTATATTTGATCGTTTTATACTTGTCCGACCCTTTCAGTGCAGGACCTTGCCCGTTTTACAGAACGTTTTCAGAGAAATCTTTGCTTAACCCTCAATCTTTTGAACCAATCCAACCTTTTTCTCATGCTGACCTGCAAACGCATCCATACATGCTCCTTGATAATTACATGCAAAAAAGCTTTTTTATAAGAAAAAGCAAGAGTGTGGCGAGAGTGCTCGTTTATGCATTCTGAGACTCAGCTTTAGAAGCTAGAAAAGTTGAGGAAAGTTTGATCATATTTTTAGGTTTTCTAAGAGCTTGCTCGTTTTCTTTCAATATAGGTATCACGTCAAAATCGACCCTCCTTAAAGAAAATGCGAGCGAGTACAAAAACGCCACATATTAGGTCGTGAAGAAAGTTCTGCCAATAGACTCTAAGCTAAATTTTTCTTATTTATATCTTCATTATAAGCGGCTGTCAATTAGCGATATTTTGGTCATGCGTACTAACAACCTTAGACTACTGATTAGGTATGTCATCGCTCTTTTTCAAAAAGCGCGCTAACTGCGTTTCGAACCATGTGGAAAATCCAATATTTTAACCTCGAATTTGATGAGTTATTTCTTGTTGCAAAAGACCCAGATACCGGGGCACGTAATAGTCGCATATTGCTTCACCTAGTCAATGCATAAGGTATAAAACGGACTTTCAAGCCATGCTTCTGGAAGTTCTGCGCGTCCATATCTGAAAAATGTGCCTTTTGCAATGTGCACAAACGGATCTTTCCCCTTCTTTGGGCATTTCTTCCTAGCTCATCGTCATTTTTTCAAGATGATTAGCGTGCTGAGCTGGGCCCATCGCAAATTAAGAACACATCTCAAACCATCCCCTCGCATTCACATTCATTCTTGGTAATGACGAGAAGAATTGGCAGAACTTTCTTTACAACACAATACTTACGAAAAAACTGATGTTTGTGGTACACTGTTGGCTCAACCTTAAAAATCGGAATGCTGATGTTGAAAAACATTACTTGAAAATACAAGCCGCAAACAGCATTATATACTTCGAAAGGTTATTGACGAACAACAAAATGTGAATCGAAAGCGCCGAGTATCAACAAAGTCACTACCGTGCAAACCTAGACTCAAAGACTTCCTGAACCCCTATCAAATATACTGGGGTATAATTCATCGACATTATGGCATTTTAGACTATAGTTGTAACGAACAGAAATTTTCGCCGAATGAACGAATATCGAATAATCAGTTTTTGCAGATTTTTCGAACGAATAAATATCGAATGCTTTGCTCCAACCACATCGGCTGCTAGAAGGCGGGACTTCATGGCTTACAAGACGACTACTTTAACTTTAATTTTTGAAAATTCTTCGAATGAACGAATATTATTCAACTTTCGATTTTCATTTTATTCGAATTTCAATATTCGAATATTGGCACATTCCAAAATTCGAATTAACGAGTACTTGAATAACCGAACTTGATCGAATATTCGAACTAATTTCGAATAAATGTTCGAATATTATACGAAATGAATGCAATATTCGAATATTCGAATATTCGAATAACTATCTCTCAAAACTACTCGAATGAACAAATATTTGAATAAGTCGTTTTTCGAAATCGTCGAATGATCGAATTATTCGAATATAGGCCTTCCTCATTTATTCGACTATTCGAATAATGGAATAAATAGACTTTCTCGAATATTCGATTGTCCGAATATTCGAATAGTCGAATATTTCGAATAAATTATTCGAACACGAATATTCAGTGCTAACTATATTTTGGACTACCTATAAATCAATAACTTTATGTTAAATTCAATCTCATTCAGTCATTAGCGAAAAGCCGTCTTCTGAGAAGCCAGAGACCGCAAAAGCACTACGCACTGATTACGTTGAGGTTGATTTATAACGGATAATCTCAAGTGAACAAACTCTTTAGACGGTGGCTCGCCGCAATACTATAACCATTGGGTTCCGCAGCGATTCAGCGTATCAGTCTTGTTCCACTCGTTCAATTACAAAAGGAAGGAAATTGAAATAACGCAAGTTTTCGCCATTTTCAAACTCTTTGAAGTGGATTTTCGGGATCAGCGTATTGAATAATGGCAGGTAAGCAAAAGTTTGACTAGGTTAAGGTTTGCCGAGCCACTGCCTTCACCGCGAGCAGGCCAGGCATTGCCCCCAAGCGGTAATCTTCGCGCACAATCCTTCCCACAATGAATGCTTGAATTGGTTGCCTCCATAACAACACATAGGTGCGATGTAGCCTTTGCTCCAACCACATCGGCTGTTAGAAGGCGGGACTTCATGGCTTACAAGACGACTGCTCGCGTCCGCGACGCAGTCTGTTCCTCCCTCGCGAACATGCTCTCTGATCATTTTCTAGCCTTGATTATGTCAAGGAGCCTCGTCCTCCAGCTGCCGATCTGTGCCGTATTCATCAACGAACCCTGAGGGTTAAACCAACCCTGGAGGGTAAAACTTACGTGATTCATTAGGGTTAATTTAACCCTAGCTTAGAGCAAGGTTCTACCCTAACACTCCATACAAACATTTACTCGCATCTAATAGTTTTATGAAAAAACGATCAACGAGTATTGTAGTACTCAGTATTAGAGAGTTCTAGCTTTGGTGACAAATGAATGCGACGAGGAAAAATGGTTGCGCATTCCACTCTGACAAGTGCCAAAACAGAAGAACCCCTTTATGATAACACGCACTGACCCTTAAAAGAATAGCACAAGCTTGGTAAAAAACGAACTGCGCAAAGGTAGAACTTACACGGCACAATTGCACACATGAAAATGAACTCACGCTGTAAGATTGGATGCTGCACAAATATCTAGAGATGTAATATAATAGTGTTAGAAGGTTATTCGTTGATTATAACAGGGTGGTCCACATGAAGTGTGACAACGAGAAAAATTATGACTTTGCATGGACTGAGTGAAATAGAAGGTTTTGTTCCCATCTGATAGAGAAGAGAATTCTGTATAAGAACTTTTAGCTAACTCTTGAGATACCCGTCCCTCGTTGTTTTAAAATCGTTTTTTCTCCTTCAAACCGCTTTCAAAACTTTTTCGATTTGCGCGCGATGGTTTTTGCTCTCAAACTTCACCAGGTTTCTTGTTGGCAAATCAAAAGACATGGGTTCAAAGGGCAGATTCTCTCCTTTCAGGTAGACAAAAAAGTGTTTGTAGGTTTAAAGATGAGCGAGCTAGAGGGCCAAATATTAGGTTGTCCGGAAATTAATGCAGGTTTTGAATTCCAACCGCAATAAGTCATACATTTCTCATTTCTAAATAGGTTGCAAAGTACCATTCGATAGAGCAAAGCAAGCTCTACAAGATGGCCATCTTGCTTTAGCAACGGATCTGATCCACCACGAATTTCGAGCCAACAACTAAAAAGATTCAACTACCCGAAAAATTAAGAAAAATCGTAACTCTGTTCATAAAAATCCCACAAAAATTCTAACATGCTTACGTAAACCCTATCCACATAAAACATCTATATACGCCTTTGCCGTATTTTTCCCTCTGTTAGAAATCAAGAAATCGGAAATTTTTGTGCATTTGCCAAAAAGGTGTTGTGCAGTTCTCACATAGGTAGTTGTACACCACAAGCCCGTAGAGATATAGACTTAAATTTTCAGCTCTCCACAAGCTTTAGTTCTCGAGAAATACCGAATATAGCTTTCCCTGGTCATGTGGTCCGAGCTAAAATTCAAATTTCTCGAGAACTAAAGCTTGTAGAGAGCTGAAAATTTAAGCCTGTACCTCTACGGGCTTGTGGTGTACAACTACCTATGTGGGGATGGCTCAGCATCACTTTGGCAAATGTACGAAAATTTCCGTTTTCTTGGTTTCTAACAGAGAAAAAAATACGGCAAAGGCGTATATAGATGTTTTATGTGGATAGGGTTTACGTAAGCAAGTTAGAATTTTTGTAAAATTTTTATGAACTGAGTTACGATTTTTCTCAATTTTTCGGCTAGTTGAATCTTTTTAGTTTTTGGCTTGAAACTCGTGGTGGATCAGATTTGTTGCTAAAGCAAGATGGCCATCTTGTAGAGCTTGCTTTGCTCTATCAAATGCCACTTTGCAACCTATTTAGAAGTGAGAAGTTTATGACTTACTGCGGTTGGAATTTAAAACCCGCATTAATTTCCGGACAACCTAATATCATTTTTTTTCCACTGTTTAAACGATGGATTTTACACAGCTGCAATTTCTTCTTTTCGCTGTGGACTGGTGTATAGTCATGCTAAAAATTCCCAAAAGCGTCTATATTATTTCTCTTGATCCAGAAAGGGCCATAGCTTCACAAAGTTTGCTTTCGATGCTTTTTCCGGGATCTCGGAAAATTGCGATTTTCGTTGCCGTGGCGACTGCCTTCAAAAAACCACAACGGGACGAAGAAATATAGAGAAGACGACTACCACCAAAACATGGAATGAAAAAGGCTAGAAAACGGGATTTTTGCAGTCAGTCGAACATCATGTGGGCCACATGTGAAAAAACACTGATCGGCCTTTCCACTCAAACTTTTGAACCCACAAATTTTCTTCCTGGCCTATCTGTAAGCAAAACGCCCGCTCTTCCAAATCCCTTTCATTGGATTTGCTAAAAGAAGATCCTGGGACGAAGTTCCATCAAAAGCCATTGCGCGCATTTTGAAATTTTCTCCGAGCAAAATAAATTCTTTCGTTAAAACCAAAGGTGGATAGCCCAAAAGTAATCTACCAATGCCTATACGGAAATTTCTTGCCTATCCGATGAAAACAAAAGCTTTCAATTTCATTGAGTTCTAGCAAAGTTAGGAAAGCTGTAATACTATAACAGTGAAATAGAAGTATAAAGTAAATTTAGCACGTACTTAGGCATTCCGTGATGTGAGTTTGCACAGCGCACGCGTAACTGACGCCTTAACCCTCCAGAGTGAGTTCAAAACTTAGGGTTCGTTGATGAATACGGTCACAGGTTCGTTGATCGATACGGATGGATCGCGTTCCCTGGTCTGGTTGAAGCAAAGGGTACACAAACGCGCATGCGGTGCCTACACTTGGGGAAATTCGACATTTTGTGGAATGAATAAGTATCGATTGTGTTTGAAAATGAAGAATTTCGAATAAACGAATATCGAATAAATTTGGAAATAAAAAAAGCTCGAAAAAACGAATATGGAATGAATTTGAGATTAAAGAATTTAAAAATGAGTGAATCTCGAATGAAATCGGGAAATCAAACTATCAATGAATGATTATCAATCATATTTGAACATTGGAAGTCGAATGCAAATAAATATTTTGAGCAGCCTTATCTGACTTGCTAAAAAAATTTGACAAAATTTGACCTAATCAGCACCCTTACACCAGCCATACCAACTACTGCGCCGTAGCTTAGGATTTTCCAAACATCAGTAAAAAGTAGATTTTTTTTATCAGCGTCCTCATTTACCTCATTATAACAACTCCAAACCCGTAGCTCAAAAATTTCAGAAAATCGATAAAATTTTACAGACAGTAAATTTTTATTTATAATCAGCTTCATCAGCTGCAAGTCCTTCACTCAAAATACACCGTCATTCGCGAAAAATCCCAGGATAAAGAATAGAGGCAACTGTGCAGCATGATTTATTACAAACAGGAGTGCTCACCAGTGTGAACCTTTGCAAAGCATGAGCAACCTAAAGGAAGAGAAACAGGCATGTCATCACACCTCCAGTGTATGAACTCGGATTATAAGCTTGAAATCGATAGCTGTTTCTTTGCTGACTTTGACATTAGCAGTACGAACAATCTCATTGATCGAAAAGCACGAATAAAAATCCGCATTTATTTTTTTACTGTAACAAGCAATTGGAGGAGTGCGAGTTTCCACACAATTTGAAGGTGACACGACTGCAAAAAAATACAATATCGACTTTACGGAAAAAACGCAGACGAAGCGAGCTTGATACTCAGAAGTTGGATCTACAGCAGATTTGAATAATCTAACTATGAATCTCATCCAAATACGAATTCAAAAAAAACGTTCAAATCAAACATTCGAATAAAATCTATTCATAGCCTTTTTTAATTCTTCGAGTTTCGAAAACCCCGTTTGATTATTCGAGTTTCGAATTTTATTTGAAAATAGGAAAACTCCGAATATCGAATGAATGCGAATATGTTCGATTGTTTTGTTTGAAGGATCGAATTTTTAGATTTGGACCGAAGTGTATTATATTCCGTTCCAGCACAAGGCCTCAAACCTACTCACATACTGGAAGGTATGGGTTAATGTATGCAACATGCTGGCATGTTCTTTTTTCAATGGTGAATGGGTGACTGAAAGTGATTACATTTATCCTGCTCAACTACACGCTGAAATTTTGCCATTTGCCGCTTAGTGGTCATTATTTTGGAAAAGCGCGTAAATGTGGGCTTCTGCTGTGCACCAGGATAAGCTTAGCCGTAGAAGATTTTAGTACGGAAACATACATTGATGTGGAAAAAATTAGTACAGAGCACCTTTGGCTTCTTCTGCTTGTTACTTATATCGCAATTTTTTGAAAAAGTTATTTTGTTTTAGCAGGAGTATTGAGATTACGATGACACTGTACAAACCATTGGCTAACAGTATGAATTTTAGTCACTTTTTTAGCTTAAATTTATCAAGGACTTTTGTTGTTACTTCAACAGTGAGAGTCCAGTTTCACTCAAACAAATAACTAAAAATCTACAATTCATTTTTGCATAAATACGGCAAAACGTGATGAAACCGTTATTTACTTTATTCACTTAAATTCGTTTCCATATTATGTCTTACTTTCTTTTCCCAGAATGCTGTCGTGCCACCTAATTTTTTTGCGTAGTAGTTCGTCAATTGAACCTGTGGAAACCCTTAAGGAACTTATATGCTCTCCAGCAAGACCCTTGAAAAAGGATGGTTTCAAAGATCAGTTTTGATAGTTAAAGAGTTGTGAATAGAATGAGCTTTATAAAATGATTGAGTATTGCAATAGAGGTGCTCAAATGGGCGACGGAGGATAAATTGAATACTATTTCAATATTGATGAGGAAGGTCTTTTCTCTAATCTGTAAAATTGCTGCAATTCACACCAAATAGCACACAAAGTTTGTTTCTACAAGAAAGATGTTTGCTTAGAATGCTTTTGCGACGTTCCCTCAAGCTAGTTTTGTCTCAGCAATACTAATACCTTATCAGTTGAGCCCTCAAAAGGCTTCATTGTAAGTAGTGCACGCTCATACTGGAGAGCATGACTTTTCCCGGCATGATATTTTTGTGAAATGCACTTACCAGGGTGCGTAGCTGCATATATACCGTGTATAGTCGGATGGCTCAATAAGTAGCTTGTCTAAATCACAAGTTTCCTATCTAAATGTTTGAAATCAAGTTTACCTTTTTACAATGCCCAATGGCTGGAGATTTATCAAGCCTAAAAACTTCACTGAAACCTTGGGAAAAAATTAGGTACAAATAAAAATGCGCTATCACTATCGCTAACTTCCGCTTAGCGTAGTGTTGTTAGCGGTGCCGAGATTGAGTGACTAAGCATGCGCGTAAAAAAGCCCCTCCATAATGCCGGCATTTTGTGCCTGCAGATACCCAGCTTTAAGGCGTAGCTATTTGCTCACTGTCCAATTTGGTCGTCCAATCCCCGACTTCATATAAACTATACTAAGCGGAAGAGCATACAACTTCTCTGCAGAGGTGCGATAGGGGGAGCCAAGTCTCCCCCTACCTTCACTTTTGAGCTGGTACGGGGTGACCACCTTCACTTTTGGAATAAAAAATTTTTCGCTGGACGACAAAGAAGGAAAATAAGCAAAACAAACGCAAAAAAGATTATTGAAAGCATATATTTATGTATACGGCGGCATATATATTTAAAATAAAGGTTTTTAGTAAATGGTGTATTTGGAAGTAAAGCTTAGCAAAACTGTACGGATTTTATTAAGCAAATTATGTTATAACGTATAGCGAAGGAAGTAGGTCGATCCAGGCAGTAACGGCCGAGAACCAGAATTTTGAATATTTGAAAAGTGAAAAATCATGCGAAATTTCCACTGTTATAAATCTGTTGTATGAAGATGTCAGCAGTTGCGACTTCATAGGTTTTGAAGAGTAGATGTTGCTCTATCAGCTAGTGAAGGAATCGGGTCGATTTAAGAGATAGTCGTTGAAAACCAGAGTCCTAAAACTTTACGCCATTTTTGCGTGTTTTTTGACTTTTGAGAGTTAAACTCTTATAAATCTTGAATGTGAAAGTGTGTGATGTTGCGACTTCATAGGTTTTATAGAGTAAGGTTTGCCTTATCAGAATATGTCTTGTCCGTTCCGATCCATTGAAACACCTCCGAGATCCAGGCTCTTGAAAAAGCAGGTAAAAAACAGCTTTTTGAATTTCAACAGCTCGTAACTTCTTCAGAACTGCATGAATCATGTTGCGACTTCATAGATTAGATTCTTCTCATCAAGAGCTTTCAGATGATATATAATATGTGGGGGTTTAGAGCCTCCTGCGAATTATGACCGGGGGGGGAGACTTTTCAGGCCAAAGTCTCCCCCTCGCCCATTTTAATGTATTGGCTGGATGGGCGAGGGGGAGACTTTGGCCTAAAAAGTCTCCCCCCCCGGGCATAATTCGTAGGAGGCTCTAAACCCCCACATATTATATATCATCTGAAAGCTCTTGATGAGAAGAATCTAACCTATGAAGTCGCAACATGATTCATGCAGTTCTGAAGAAGTTACGAGCTGTTGAAGTTCAAAAAGCTGTTTTTTACCTGCTTTTTCAAGAGCCTGGATCTCGGAGGTGTTTCAATGGATCGGAACGGACAAGACATATTCTGATAAGGCAAACCTTACTCTATAAAACCTATGAAGTCGCAACATCACACACTTTCACATTCAAGATTTATAAGAGTTTAACTCTCAAAAGTCAAAAAACACGCAAAAATGGCGTAAAGTTTTAGGACTCTGGTTTTCAACGACTATCTCTTAAATCGACCCGATTCCTTCACTAGCTGATAGAGCAACATCTACTCTTCAAAACCTATGAAGTCGCAACTGCTGACATCTTCATACAACAGATTTATAACAGTGGAAATTTCGCATGATTTTTCACTTTTCAAATATTCAAAATTCTGGTTCTCGGCCGTTACTGCCTGGATCGACCTACTTCCTTCGCTATACGTTATAACATAATTTGCTTAATAAAATCCGTACAGTCCAACAAACTTCTACTTCCAAATACACCATTTACTAAACACGTCTATTTTAAATTTTTATAAATAAAATTTATAGATATTTTTAATATTCATCGTATCTGTGGCCCTAAAGAGGGCCGTCGGATCGACGTTAGACCTAGAAAGATAGCTCCGTTCGTCCGTTCTATCCTCCCCCCGCACCTCCCCCCCCCCCCCCGTCGACGTTTTTGGGAGGTGAGTGTCCGACACTACCACCTTCACTTTTGGCCGGCCAGTGGTAGCTGAAACCACCTTCACTTTTGGGGGACCCGGCTCCCCCTATCGCACCTCTGCTTCTCTGACCGTGTCTTTCTGCGGCATGCGATCTCTTTGTAAAATAAGTCACGAATATCCTTAGGCCATCGTATGGAAGTATCCATGTACCAAACAGCACCAAATTCGCTCAGTGTCTTCTAAAGGAACTAGTAGCGGATGAGCAAAAAGCGTGGAAACTCCTAAGAATAAACCCACTGCTATCAGAAGCGGCTTCCATCTATACTCTTTAAGGTTTTTAACATGTTCAGGATACATTTCAAAGGGAAACTGGCGCAATTCCACGAAGCACTTGCTCTAAAAGAGCTTCCGTGAGAAAAGTTGCAGTTGCTTTTCATCCAGACGTACTCGCAGATTAGTTGCTGACTTGTTTTTGAGACCCAAATCGTAAACGATTATCCATTCCATCTTTAAAAATTTGCGAATGTTAGCTATCTGTAAAAACGCTAATTCGTTCAAATAAAAGTTTACCAAATATGATGCGTATTAGCCATAATATAATTACATTTTGCTATTCAAGATTTTACTGGGATGTCATAGATTAACTTTCAATATCTTCGAAGACAATTGGCAAGGCGCTGTTTTTGAAAGTCGAGCGCATAGCGCCATAAAACGTAAGTATTACACTCGAGGGGGGGGGGGCTGAGACCATTTACCTGCTGGAAATCATAAAGCTTCTTTTTATTATTTTTGAGCTAATTATGAGCACCGTTGACGCAAACGGTGAAATTCCGATGCCGCTTAAATTGTGGAGTTTTTTCTGCAAAGATAAATTGCGAAGCGAGAAAAAGATTCGGATATAAAACTGCCATAACGGCTCCGCCTACCAAGGTGAACCTTTTGAACGTCACAAGTCCTTTGTTGGGCTTCATGATATTCACGTCATAAGTCCCCTTCTAAAATCATCAGATTCTCCACATTACTATCTAAGCTGAAGCCAACTTTCGGACTCATTATCTTATCCTAGTTGACGACCAGATTCGAAATGTGCACGTATATTTCTGTCACACTCTTGAGTTCAATTGCATAAAAACGTAGTAGTGGAAAAAAGCAGCTTGAATTTGTCGAAGTTTATGCTCCTCAGACCAATAGGTGGTCTAGAAAAAGGCACCTAGAACTTCGCTGATATTCAACTAGCACAAAGAAAAAATCCACTATCTCTTTCTATATTTTTGAAAAATCGTTTATTAAATTTTCGTTTTATGCGCAATGGTCAGACTCTTGTTTGCAAAAATCAGAAATCTTTATCGCTGTATCAGAAATGCTTTATCAGAAGGTAAGACTGTACCAACCACAACAAAGAGGCATTTAGAAATGTGGCGAATTTTCTTTCCGTAGAAACGCTAATAATCTTTTTGTGCTTCTTTGCTATATATAGCTTAACGTTTGTCGAAGAATAGCGTCGCTTTTGTTACATTGCCGCATGCAAGATCACGCATGAAAAATGAGACAACGCCACTGTATAAAACCCTCTGCATGCAATGTGTTTTATACAGTGGTGTCTATCTTCTGTTCCACTGGAGCTGGAAGCTGGAAGGCAAGGCTTTGATCGATCAAAGAGCACCTAAAGTGGTAAAGCAGGTTCTGCATTTCCCTTGCGCACGTGCTTTCTAATCAACCGAGCCCCCTCCCCTTCAGCAGCCAACTCCAGTGAAACAGAGAGTATATGTCGCCGATAGGCTCCACCCACTCGCAGACAGCTGCTACAAATCTGTATTGTCTGTAATGGGCATACCTGCGCTGTCTGTTGCAGATGTCCGCGTGGAACCACCTCCTTTCGGCGACATATAGTCCTCCATCCGCATGAATGAATTGCATATGATATGCATAATCAATTATAAGGCTAGCGTTCTTGCATTTGAGCTGAGTTCGTTTCTGGCTGTTAGAGTCTGCCAAACATAGTGCCGTTAATTGAAGCAAAAATAATAAAATTTTGATTTGATTGCAAACCCACCAAGGTGAGACCTTCACTGTAGTGATTTTCTGACATTGCCGTCACAAATCTGGGGAAAGGCATGTAGTCATTTTCGAGATCTATCGCATTCCTCTTTGACAAGAGATCTCAAAAGTATAAAGTTAGACTTAAAGAGTAGCAATTTTGACAAGTTGCTTTACAGCCTCTGCTTTTTCTTTCCTCACAGTAATAATCTACTTCATAAAATCTATATGGTTACATGTGACGGCTACATTCATAATACTTACTGGTGCCAACCAGGGTCAAGCGTATGATGCGACTGTCGCAACGAGGGGTCGTAAAGGGGCCTACGGTGAGGGGGTGGGGTCGTAAGAGGGGGTAGTTTGGATAAAAAACCGTACGATTGAAAGCAAATCAAATAGCAAGTAATTATTACATATTTTTAACAATAAATTCATGGAATGCCGTGTACCAATCTTATATATAAAGCTGAATGTCTGTTTGTCTGTCTGTATGTCTGTCTGTCTGTCTGTACGTACGTATGTTCCGAATAGAAAATTCCATTTCTGAACCGATCCGGACCAAACTTGGCACACATACACTACGGGCCCCGGCGGGTGTCATAGGCTACTTTTCGTCATCGATCGATATCGATTTTATCGATTTTTATCGATTTTTTTGCTGAGTTCACCTACGGGGCTGGGAGTTGGCACAGGGGGGTAATCGAGCATGGGGATTCCGAATACAATATTGGTTTTCAGGATTATCGATTACTTTTATCGATTTTATCGATTTTTTTGCAAAGTTTGAGCTACGGGGCTGGGAGTTGGCACAGGGGGGTAATCGAGCATGCTGATCATCCCCAAGGGGGGTGATCAGCATGCTCGATTACACCCCTGTGCCAAATTCCAGCCCCTAGCTCAAATTTTCAAAAAATCGATAAAATCGATAAAAGTAATGGACGATCTTGAAAACTAATATTGTATTCGTAATCTGCATGCTCGATTACCCCCCTGTGCAAACTCCCAGCCCCGCAGGTCAAACTTTACAAAAAAATCGATAAAATCGATAAAAGTAAGGGACGATCCTGAAAACTAATATTGTGTTCGTAATCAGCATGCTCGATTACCCCCTGTGCAAAATCCCAGCCTCGCATGTCAAAATTTACAAAAAATCGATAAAATCAATAAAAGTAATCGATAATCCTGAAAACCCATATTGTGTTCGGAATCCCCATGCTCACTTCCCCCCCTGTGCCAACTCCTAGCCCTGTAGGTGAACTCTGCAAAAAAATCGATAAAAATCGGTAAAATCGACATCGATCGATAACGAAAAGTGGACCGTGACACCCGCCGGGACCCGAAGTGTATGTGTGCCAAGTTTAGTCCGGATACGGCGGAGCCGGGTAAGCCAGCTAGTGTATCAAATAAAAACGAGTGAACAATAATTTGAAAACATTTGCAAGCATAGAAACGCTTCATTTGCTGCACTTTTGAAAGATTATGACTTAGTTCTTTTTTTTATGAGAATCGCTATTTCTCCCGCAAAATATCGCCTTAAACGGCGAACCCTGCTGGCATGACTAAAATCCGAAAAATAAACGCTTTCAGAAGCTCAGATGCTACTAAAGGCGTGTATGTGTGATAAAGATGTTGGATGTACCGATTAGTGTAGACATCCTGCTTCTGAAGGCTCACTGAAGACTCGCACACTCGACAAAAGCGCACATGTAGATCAACGATGACAATCAATAATTCGTAAATCTTTTTGTAATGCCATTTATGCGGCCCTTACAATCTATATGTACTTTAGATAAGCCCTGCTACTGCTATGCGGAATCTGGTATTATTTTATAAACTGCGGATTTTCTTATGATTTTATGTATGGCTGCAAAAAATGAGAAAAGGGGGGGGGGCGTATCTGCGCCTGATCTAAATTTCTCCGGAGCTATTGAAGCTTGTTAGCTGCAAACTTGCTGTAATACAAGGCCATCAATTTAGTTTTTACCATAAGAATTTCAGGCTGTTTTATAATTTTTCTGGTAAGTTACAAAATTTTAAGCTCAAAAATCCCAGTTTTTGCTTTTTAGGAGATCGCATCTAAATTTGCGAAAGCCTGATCTTAATTCTTTCCTCACTGCTCCTCAAGGGCTAAGACTTTTTCTATGAATAGTGTAGGCATATGCTACAGAACCTGTCCTTTGCAGCCTCTTAGTCTTTTCCTGGCCTTAGTTACGAATTTTCGAACTACCGTACTCATGCATGTTTTTGACGTCGTTCTGGACGGCGCTAAAGCGGTTTTTTTCGCAGGAAAACTGTGGAAGAGGTAAGAGGTAGGTGAACTGAGCTTCTTGGTCGAGAACATCTTTTGTAGTTCAAGAATGTCATTTTGTTCTCCGCGTAAAAATTTGTGTCGCATACGGGAATCGAATTTGCTGGCGTGGCTTGAAAATTCAAAAGTAAACTTGCAGAGTCTCAAACATCATTGAAAGTGTGTATATGTGTTAGAGATGCTGGGCGCACCCATTGGCCTAGAAATTCTGCTTCCTCACTGAACCTCACTGAGTTCTCACGCAGGTGTTCTTGAAAATGACATTCGTTTATGCAGGTTACCGCGAGAAATGTGGGCAGAGGAGGTAAGGGTGATATATTGGGGAGGGGGAGGGAGGGAGAAGGGGGGGGGGGGTCGTACGGACGGGTACTTCAAGGGGAGGGAATCGTAAATGAGGGTCCATTATCGCATCAACACGCTTGACCCTGGTGCCAACCACATTTATTAAAACTAACCTGCTTTTTTTATAATTTCGACAACTTGCACATTATGAACCCCAAACACACATTTCCAAAATTTTTTCGCTTAGATAGCACACGCACCATTGTTTGAGAATATTACGTCGAATCTACTATGTAGGTTTTATGAAGTTACGTTCCTGCCCTCAAATCGACAAGTATTCCTGCAGAAATTAGAAAGATACTGTTTCACCAGCTTCACGTTTGATAAACAATGAGTAGAAGGTGGAAGTGGTCTGCATTGCAATGAAAGAACTGTTTGTGGATATAAAGTTCATTGATATGGAGATTATATCATAAATCCGTTTCAAAGCACTGATTCGAACCCTAAATCTGATTTGATCTTGAATGGGTTGAGAAAATCATAAAATTTTCGCATGCGGTTGCCTCTATCAAATAAAGTTGCAAGTACACAAGTCTACATCAAAACTTCGAAAGAAGGTATCACGATATGTTATCCTTGATTAGATGCAACTTTCCTGAACATCATAGCGACTCGATTAGTTTGAGAAAGTTTAACATTAGCTAAATAAGACTTCAAAATAACACCTCCACTGAAACCCTTCAGGTGATCACAGTTGTGATGTATCTTTTACAGCAGGAGGAGCTTTGCTGCTATTGACTAGTCCTAAAACTTTCACTTTTACGGCTTCAGCTCAAACAAACAATATTTTTATTCTGCTGGATCTTTTTCTACCGGGAAAGCATGTTTGTGTTCTGCGTTCATTCAATTTGACCCACCAATAAAGAGAGCGCCTTTTAGGCTGTTGTTATAGTTGCTTCAAACTACGCAAAGGCTTTAAAAACTGGGAAAGATTATGATTTTTTGTTGAGGGAGTTGGAAAGTTGGAGAATGGATAGCGCCTTGGTGCGCTGAGCCACCTTTCCTGCATGTGGTCTTGCGGCGTCCTGTGTAAGGATGATATCTCTTACCTTATATCGCAAACTGCTCTAAGCTTTTGACAAATGATATTTGAATCCCCAACACATCACGGTGCTTCAAATTACATCAAAAGCTTTCGCGCACAAGACCGTTGAAATGACTAGCTATCACACTTGATGGCTGCTTGATTCTAACCATTTCCTGGGCCTTTTTTGAAGAAAATTGTTACGGTGGTTGCTTTATATTGGCTAACACAAACGGCTTCTCGCCACAGTTTACAAATTGGTTTGAAAGGATTTTTTTGATTGAACTAGAGCAAGAAAATCGGGAAGATTTCTTCGTTTGCGAATCTAACAATTACGGGTCCGTCTACTAAGATATTTCGAATTCCGTATTTTGTAGAAGTGACCCTCAAATGCTTTTGTAGAAATTTAAAGCTTGCTGCAAGTCACAATTATTCTTGAGAATTCATCTCAAGGTTTTTTTTCACCTGCTGGTTGTGAAGACCTGCAGCGAGCAAATCTTTTCAGTTTTCCGACCCTGGATCTTCCAAAGCAAATCTGCAACACCCACAAAAAGTATAGGCTGCTGCACGACTAAGGCGCAATATCCTTGAGCGCGAACACGGCTTTATTAGTAGCGGAGCGCATAAAGCGCTTTACAACGATGAAGATATGCGCGCGCCGCGTGCGCGCCCGCTCATCTGATACTGCTTTTCAGCCGTCATGCAGTAGCCTTTAAGTTTTGACAAATGTATGTTCCCAGTAGTAACCGCTTCAGCTATCTTATGCTCAAATTTGAACTTGGAGGGATGATAGTTCGATGGCTCCAGAGTCGCGTTTCTAATTCATTTTCTTAATAGTAGAGGTTCTCCACAAGCCTATTGCCTCACGTATTGAAATCCGCTGACAAGAAAGCACCTTGTGTAACATCCTCTGTTAGCGGCTGTTTGCCCTTTCTTAAAATATGTAATGATTGGCAAGGGCTCGAAAAAAGAAAATTCTGGGAGAATTGATATGTTGGGGGAATTGACGGCTTGTGCACATAGACATTTCCTAAATGATATCGCGTGGCCCTATTCGGGCATATGTTTTTTATACCGACATATGTCATCGAATGGTTAGTCAGAACAAGCATCAGAATTGGAACTAGTTTTGAAAAAAATACAAAAAGCACTAATCGTTATCGAACATCAGTCTTTTCCCCAATCTTGATGCCGAAAACTGACTGAAACTCTATCAAGGTGCTGTTCATTCTTCCTCCCAAAGTACGTGTGCTTGACACCTCTATAAGTGTAAATGATGAGGCGCTTATCACAAAACGGCATGAAGTGCATAAATAGACAGCAGCTTTTCGGTAAAAAATTCAAAATATAGAATGTACGAGTGAAATTTCTCAAAGTCAAGGAAGACCGATACCCGGATTGGAACTCACCCAGAGCTTGTAGATAAAAGGCATATTTACAAGTAAAGCGTTTTCCTTTAATACTCTTGTCCTCAGGAAAGCGATAGCAAAAGTCGTATGACATATTCTTATACTGACAAGCACAGCCGTCATGAGCCATGTTATTTCGAGATAGGTTATGCAAGCTGGATCGCAATCTTTCTTGCTTTTCCAGCTTTGCCTGCATGAAATAAATCTATCTTTCAACTCTTTAGTCCTCTAAATCCCAAACCTACCGCTGTAGAGGTTGAAGAATTGATGTAGAAGAATAACGAAACGATTGCCCATGCAAGATAGACAGCGACACAAACGTAAAATGTTTTATAAATAACTTCGTTTACGAAGGGCATCCTGAAATTTAGATAAAAAATAGTAATCGTTGGACGGTGCTGTGTCTTCTACAAGCACAGCCGACGCAAAGCGGCTCCGCCCTTTAGAACATTAAGAACGCAGTGTCATAGGGATAATTGCTGAGCTTGCTGAGCAAAATTAGGTGGGTCTTTTTTTCCGAATCTTAAGTTGCCTTAGCAACTCAGCAATGAAATTGTTACACATACGCTAAACGTTGTAGAACTGAGTGTTGTCCTTTGGTCTAATCGATAAGGCATTGAAAGCGTCATTATCATTTTCTGGAACAATTAGTGAGTGTGAAATATGAGTCATAAAGAAACGATCGACAGCATCTTATTCACGTCGTTTTGCCTTGCCAAATGTGGTGTAACAAATGATGGGCATGGTTAGGTCTTACATGTAATATACTTAATGTCATAATTAACAAATATCTTTTGCAAGCCGAGAAATTAACATTAGAGAAAAAAAGAAGGCACGAGGGTAGCTTTAATGATTATCGCTTAGATCAGCTAATCAATAGCGCAGGAGCGTGCAAAAAAAAGACTAGCATTCAGAATTTGGGAATGACTAAAAAAAGAGATATGAGCACTTTTTCAAGATATAACCAGGAATACTGCTCAGAAAGAGCGGAAAGCAGATCCAAAGTTGTTAAAATTTGTTATACGAGGGACCTATGCATTACAGAGGCAAGTTTCTTCGATACTGAAAGCGGTTCAATTCAAGGGGGTCCATTTATTTAGCGTAGGCAACGGATGTGGCCTTGGGTGACTGAAAGTCTGCCCTGTATCAAACTTGTTTATACAGTTGAAGTCTTCAGAGTGTGGTTCTATAATACGTCTCTTTTGTTACCAACAGTTTGCAAAGCTTGCTCATTATAGACATCAACACTGTAATAGAAGTTTGCTTCAGTATTTTGATTGCGTATTCCTAAAAGAAGGCTGTGAATGGTAAAACCTCAAAAATTTTAGCCTTTTCAAGCTTTCTACAAATATGTTCCTTGTTTTGAAATATTCCGATGTCATTTTGTATGCTCCTATAAGTGATAAGTACCAATTGATAGTCATTAAAACTTACTGCTACTGTTGGTGGTACACAGTCACAGCAACATGCTAATCTTAGCTTTTTTTTTGTTGATTTCGACATGATTATGACCTAGCAGAGCGAGGCTGCAGAAACACACGTTTCCGTTAGGGGTTGAATAAGGTACGTAACACGCAGCGTTTCCAGATAGTAAGATGATATAAGTCAAACGTGCAAGAGTTATGGAAACTGAAACGCAACCTCAACCATCTGCTTTCAATGCTCCGAGCTTATCACTGCCCTATTTGACTACTACATTTTCGTTAGGAATAGTATTAGAGTCTTCGCGTTTTTGCGGAAACGTAACACTGAGTCAAATTCTATAGACCTTCTAAACGGTCTGGTGGTTCCTGCAGTTTGATTGGAAATTTATGAGGTATACCCGCCCTCAACCAATTAGATGTCTGATGGAAAATTGATTTGGCTCTGCTGCAAATAGTCAGCCCTTTTCAAATTCAAAATGGTCCATTAGGTATCCGCTGGGATGAGGAGGACTAAAACAAAGAGACGAGACTGTGGAGGCTGTGAAGAGAGAGAAGTGTGCGACTTGAGTCGTGTGATTTCTAAGGATAAAGATTTTAAAGTAAGCGATTTAAACAAAAGCAAATAAACACTGTCACCCACTTTTTTCTCACTGCTTCAAAGTCATAACCTTTCATAGGGTCGCTATGGGTGAAGAATAACTGACGTCGTATACGAACTCTCCAAGTCGTATTGTACTTTGCGCCCGAAGAATTCCGCATGACAGCGACAGAAGCGCGAATTTTCTCACAGGCTCGTATTCATTGTTTTGTTAGCAGTTAGCTTATCTGTGATATTCTCATGCTTACTGGTGTTTTGTTTATATTCGCTTACATATATAAATGGCTGGCATAGTTTAGCGAGCGCTGGTTATGATTTTACGGTTTGTATCTCATCTTTCAATTGTTTCTTTGTTTTTCTCACAGTTCCTTTGTCACTATCTCATAGTTCATGGATTCAAAGCCCTCTCACAGATCCCTCACAGCTATCCACAGGGTCTTTGGATCACGTACATTCAACATATACCAGTGTTTCAATATCGTACCCGTTTTGTAGTTGTTAGTCGTATTTTAGTAATAAAGTTTAATTACCCAAGTTTGAGGTGTACTCGCTGTGCGTAAGTCCCGCGTGGCAGCCGATTGATCACAGTGCACGCAACACACACACACACTGACTCACCGACCGTACAAGTGGTGCATCGGCCGAATTGAGGTACGATTTGTTGCTAACGAGTAACGCTTCCAACTAATAAGCCGCACGTTACTCACCTCACAGTTAGCACAGTTTGCACAGCGAGTCACGGAGAAATTTGCCTCACAGCTATCTCACAGATCTCACGGATCCCTCACAGTAAATATCACAGTTTCCGCATAGCCATCACAGTATCTTACATCACTAACTCAACTAACAATGAGCAGTACTGTAAGATCACTAAAAGGACTTGTTACTAAAAGGAACGACGCAGCGGTAAACTGGCTACAGGACTCCACCCAAGCGCTCGCAGACATACAAGCCAAGGAAAGCGCAAGGAGGATAAAAACCTGTGAGAGATACATTGAGCTTCTCGAGACATCACTGACAAAGCTAACGAAAGCTTTTAATGAAGCTCCAGAGACCACAGAAGAGGAGGAAGATCACTTGGATAAGTACATAGAAAAAACCCAGGCAACGATAATGAAGCTGCACGATCACAGGACGCAGCTAGAAGACACCCTAGAAGACATCGGGATAGAGGCAGATGACCGGTCAAGCCCATCTGCAGTCAGTAGACTCCCGGTAATCCCAATCCCTACATTCACAGGAAGAAAATGGGAATGGGATAACTTTTGGGCCTTGTACAAAGCTAACGTCCATGATCAAAACTTGACACAGCTGCAAAAATTCAATTATTTGCTGGCATCCCTGAGTGGGGAAGCGAAACAATCAATTTCACGGTTTTTCGTCTCAGCAAATAATTACGAGAAGGCCATCCAACACCTTGTCAAGAGGTATGGCAATAAAGATGGCATAGTCTTGGAATTAAACAAAAGCTTACACAACTGCGTAGCAAGGGACCAACTACGACGGAACAACGGCAGTTGTGGAACAAGCTGTCAACGATTGCAGCACAGTTAGAGGAGCATGAGGAGCAGCTCAACAATCAACTAACAGTACAAATTTTTGTGCAAAAATTCCATGCACGCATAAGAAAAGCTGCCATGGAAAAAAGATACGACATCAAGAAGAGCACCAGTCCGAGTGGACCTTGAACCAATGGCTTGATGCCGTCGACAACGTCATTTCACAGTAAGAACAGCTGAACCATATGCTCTCAGTCGACGGTCAATTCACAGGTCCTCCGTTGCACAACACAATAAGCACCAAAACGCTTCCAGATCTGGAGGAGAACTGGAAGCGCGGAACCCTAGCGAATGCTGTGGAGATATAGGGCACAGATGGACGACCTGCCCGCAACTACCCACAGCAATACAAAAGAGAAGATTTCTTTTTGAATCCAACAGATGCCTCAACTGTGGGTCGAAAAACCACAGAGTTGTTTCATGCCCTAGCGGCAACTGCAGAAAGTGCCACAAAAAGCACCACACGGCTATCTGCATGGAAAATACTCCACAAAAATCAGAAAAATGGATCAAAATTTTACCCGAAAGTCAAAGTTACACAGAAGCAGCAGAAGCGCAAAACCAGTCGGTAACGGCAGCAAATATGGTAAAGGACGCAACTAGAATGATTGGAGAAGAAACTCCTATACTGACATGCGGAGCAACGAAGAGTGCAACCCTGGCAGTCGTACAGCTCAAGGAAAAGGTGCCTACTACCATCGCATCGGACTTCTCCTCTAAAAACGAAGCTATGAAAGCAGCAAAGGCACAGTCAGCAGCATCAAGAAAGAAGAAGTTCTCGTCCATCAGTATAGGCCCCGTGATGGCTACTGCATCAACACAACAAAAGAAGTTTTCGTCGTCTACCACAGAATTCGACACGGGCACGGATCCATCGGTCACGATTGCCTTGGCGAGAGCACAGTAAAACCTTCTGATGCGCAATCAAAAAGCACTTCTGGCTTATCAAGCGTTTCAAGTATTGATGACGATGGTTCTTCAAAGGAAGTAATGACTGTACACCGTTTATGGAAAGGGTTTCTGGATTTCAAGAAGAAGGTCGAGCGACAGCACCAAGAAGTGCAAGAATGGATGCAGAGTATAAAGCGTGCAACCTTCACAACACAGAAAAGAACGAATACCAGCCGAAACCGAGGAGTGATCCACACTCAACAAAAGAAGAATCTACAAGAAGCTTCCCACAAGAAACCCCAATCCTCGGAAAGGGCTACGCAGCCAAAGAATGAGATAAGAAGACGACATTTCAAGAATCACAGACATCTGAGGAAGTCCTTTGCGACCTCGCAAAAGAAGTCAAGCACAGCAACCAGCTTGCAAAAGGAGAGCACTAAATGGCGAGGAAACAACGCAATAACATCCGAACAAACACAAAAGAAAATAAAGCGCAAACCAAGTTCTTCGAATGGTCAGAGTAAACAAACGCCGGCATGAGGTAAAGAGAAAGGAACCCAAACATGGCTCAAACCGGAAAAGCTGGAATCAGCTAAGCGCTTCTTCGGTGGACACGCCGGAGTATACGAACTCCATCGTATCAATTTACGCGCCCTTCGAACCACGGAGCAAAGCAGAGCAAAGTAGATGGCAGTTTCGACGAGAAACACAGCGTTCGAGACAAACTCTTAAACGCTCCAAGGATAGCACAGTGGATAAAACTCAGACACTTACAAGACAAGGGGAACTGCGGACTACTTCCAATAAGAAAAGACAAACGGTTTTGGCGCGTGAGCAAACTCTTGGAGAAACTACGGAAAACATGGTACACATCACACAGTTTGGAAGCGAAGTAGCACGGCGAAAGGAAGGATGGAGTCACGTCACTCTTTGTGCACCGTGGCAGGGTGCGTTTTGCGAGAGGATTATGCGCTGCATCTGGAAAACGCTATACTACTCGCTCGGAGTGCTCGCCATGGCTTTCAATGGTTTCAAGACGATGCTCACAGACATGGAAGTGGGGTCCGACCCCCGATGGCGCTCACGACAGCAGCAGAGAATCCGATACAGCACAGCAGGATTGAAGAAGTAGTCGAACGAAGGCAATATCGTACTCCCCAGGGATGCGGCACGACCTATATCGACCCACAGGAGGAAGACCACTCCCACAGTCCAGATAGACGAATCACCACAGAAAGCCACAAGGGAAGCTGTTATGGCAGATCCTGATGGACCCGAACTGCGACGACGGTCGACTCAAATTGCGCCACAGGAGACTGACAATAAAGAAACATTCACGGCGGACAGGCAAGACAAAGCAACACGAGGTAACGCAACCAAGGAAAAAATCAGCCAAAAAGAAGCAGAGCTACGAGCACCAACACGGAAGTCAAAGTCAGCGACTACATCGACGACCACTTGACCATCAACGGTGTTGCTCCACACGTCTGCTGAGGCCGGAGTATACGAACTCTCCAAGTTCGTATTGTACTTTGCGCCCGAAGAATTCCGCATGACAGCGACAGAAGCGCGAATTTTCTCACAGGCTCGTATTCATTGTTTTGTTAGCAGTTAGCTTATCTGTGATATTCTCATGCTTACTGGTGTTTTGTTTATATTCGCTTACATATACAAATGGCTGGCATAGTTTAGCGAGCGCTGGTTATGATTTTACGGTTTGTATCTCATCTTTCAATTGTTTCTTTGTTTTTCTCACAGCTCCTTTGTCACTATCTCATAGTTCACGGATTCGAAGCCCTCTCACAGATCCCTCACAGCTATCCACAGGGTCTTTGAATCACGTACATTCAACATATATCAGTGTTTCAATATCGTACCCGTTTTGTAGTTGTTAGTCGTATTTTAGTAATAAAGTTTAATTACCCAAGTTTGAGGTGTACTCGCTGTGCGTAAGTCCCGCGTGGCAGCCGATTGATCACAGTGCACGCAACACACACACACACTGACTCACCGACCGTACACGTCGGTATAGATAGGAAGAGCGATTCCAGCCTATCCAAAATCAAAGCAGCATTGCATAGTTAAAATGTTACTGCGTATAACCACACAATGCGACAAAAGTTGGGGACCTATTCTCGAAATAGAAACAAATGAACAGAAACAGAAATTTGGTAGCTACATCATTAGAGCAGTAAAAAACAGCATAGATTCAGATGTCTTTTGACGAAAAAGCTGGAGTTGCAATTTACACGAATACCAGCACCGTGACTGCAGGTAGTCACCATCAACTTCCTTACAATATTGCGTGGAAATTGCTCTTGTCGCATGGAAAATGATTATACTAGATCACGTTTCCGTTTACAACATACCATGAAGAGAAATTTTTGCAAACTGCACAAATAAAACTACTGAAATCAAGTTACTGGCATGTGTCACTTTTTCGTTATGCGGACCTACTTTTTGTGGAAAAAATTTTTTTGCATGTCATATAGTTCAAGGTTCAATCAAAAAAACGCAACCTATTGACAGACGAGATTCAATTTGTCCAGCACGTTTTAGCGGGAATGCTTCAGGATTCAAAACTGCTGCCAGACGAAGGCGGAAAGCAGCGTTAGTGAAGCAAGCTCGAACGCAGCGCGCGTTTTTCAGCATTGTGAAAGCTGCATCGCATGCTCTCTGCGGCCAGTAGAACCGCGTTCGCGCCTCTAGGTTTTGCTCCCCCGTCCAGCAGTAGCTTTCATCTAGATATTTTCAAAATTCTACACCCTCTTTAATGCGCAAGAGCATAGGAGAAGATATTGAGAAGAGAATTGTAAAGTGGGTCTTACACCATGGGCTGGAAGAAATATAGGAAAAGCCCGACGAAGCATTGTCAATGTTAAAGTAAGGTGACCGCACATTGCTGCCCTGACTCCAAATTACTTCTCGAGGATTTATGGAAAAGATTATCTATAGTTTCTACTTGAATATCTTTGCGAGAGGACCACCTACCACCAGGTCATCCAAGGGGCAACATATAGAACCGTCACTTCTCCGTCAAATATTCGGCATCAGTAAAAAATCGTATAGCAGGCGATCTTGACACGATCAAAACTTGAAGAGTTTTCAGTTCTTACCAGAGCTCTGTCTCACCTGAAGTCTCACGCGCTACCTGACGAAACGGTCCGACGTCAATAGAGGAGTAGCAAGATCGTGCTGCTGTATACAATTAAGGCGATCTCCGTTACATCGGCAATTGTTCCTACCTGCTTATTTTCTACAGTGTACAAATTCTTCACGCGAGTAATCCATAAATTGAAAGTAGAAGGAGGACAACTCCAACAAACTAAGTCCAAAAGGGGTTTAGCGCACTGGACCATATACGGACGGTATCAAGGCTTATCGAAATATTGCGAGACTACACAAGCCCAGCTGTCGCACTATCATCAACTCAAAGAGGTCCATTGATTAGATTAAGGCTGTCATCGATGACTTGAGCAATCAAGGTATGTTTACTCATAGCACATCAAGATGATTTGTGATTCAACTACTTCTCAACCAAGATCACAGCATTCTAAGATCGCCATCGGCGGAATTCTCAGTCTGCTCTCAAAGTATCGTGCAGGCATTGGATTGAGACGACATAGAAGTGAAAGTCGACAGTCGGGAACTACACCACCTTCGCTTTTCTGAGGATAGTCCTGATTAAAGCGAACATCTTTGCAACCAATGCTGGCTCAAATTGACGACGTGCGAGAGAACATTGGTCTAGGGCTGAATCTAACGAAGACAATATCCCTGAAAAACGGATAGGCTCCAGGTGCGCTTTTAACGCTGAATGGAACGACTAATACCGAATGCTGTAGCTAAGCCTACCCTAAGGCGGAATTTGACATGATGAACGATCTGGTCCAGGCTGAACAAGAGAAAACGAGCAGCATTGGAGCATATAAAGCACTTGAGGAAATGGTGAAGAAGACGGAGAACATTCGGCTCCGCGGAAAGAGTGATGTGAGAAGTGTCTCGACTCACCCAATAAAGGAAGAAATACGATTTCACTCTACATCAACGATGCCAACGCAAACGACAACCAGAACAAAAGTACGGGTTGATGCAAAAATAATGCCCGTTTTCTCAAGCCTTCCTTTAGACAATTTTTTTCCATTAAATTTTCTCTTGGAAACAGCTGCGGTGCACCGTTGAGAAGCTCTTTTCATGCTCTATCTAATGATTATTAAGGCGGACCTTCGGCCTCACCTTTTAATTACAGAGCTCCCCGCATTCAAAACTAAAAATTTATTGCATACACTCTTCTGGCCAGAGTTCACATGCAAATGAACGGCGTCTCTTAGGGAATCTAGCCATTGTTTGTAAAGAAAAAAATGCTTGCATTCTACATTCTCATCATTCTTAGAAATTATCCAGACTGAGATACTGGCGTCCCAACATGGACAGTCATTTGGATTATTTTGTGGCTAAATCTTTTTTGAAGAAGGCAAATCCCGAAGCTTTGCTCACTTCTGAAAGCGTAAGGGTAGCAGTTTTTGCAAAAATATTCAACTGTTCAGTACTCAAAAAATCAAAAATTCCACATTTTGGGATTTTGCAGCATAGAAAAAAAATGATGAAAGAACAATTTCAAATTTGAATTTTTGCAAATCTTCTTTGTCTAAACCTTTTCCAACTTATCCTTAATGGCTTGCGGCTAAAATATAGGCAACATATCACTTATACTCACAAACTTTGAAGAATATTATGAATTGTCAAAAACAGAATCTTAGAAAAATAAGTTGTTTGTTTTTCAGTCTAAAATTTTCTGCCCGCTTGTGATGGAGTACAGATAAATATGCGTTGTAATGGAAAAGGTTTGCTGTTTTGGTTGCTTATATCGCAGTCAGAACAGGGCCCGGCACGAGGTCGGCAAAAGGGGTTTTCGAAAACGAATTCCCCTTTGACCCAAAATTTTTTTACGATCTCCCCTTTGACCCAAAAATTGATCCCAGTGATTCTGCAGTGAACACTTTAACCAGAAAACAAGTTTTATTGACAAAAAAACAGTTAAAGATATTCTTGCTACTCCATACCTTACAGAGAAAGAGAGCATACTAACTCTTTGAACAATCAAGAGTTTTCAGTTACTGAAGTTGATCCCTTATCCATCCTATAGGGCTACCTCTTCATTATACTGGTCCATAACTCTTGCACCAGAAGCAAAAAATACTAAAATCCCGATGAGATATAAGTTTAGTTCTGAAAATGCTTCTCCAATCTACTTTTCATTAAACTGAATTTATTAGGTTGGCTCGAAAGTTCTGGGACATTTTCAGACTAATTTTGCTATTTCTCGAAGCCCACTGCATGTACATCCTCAAAAATTTGCAGATATGCTCTCTCTCGCATGTAGCTGATATCTAAGCAAATGGGAGGAGCTTAGGACCAATGTGGGCGGGGTTTGCCACTTTTCAATCACCTCGTTTTTCTTGTTGTTTAAGCTCAAATTCCGCACAAAATGTGCTTGTAAGCAGATAAGTATGTTTGTACTATAAAAGGAGCATGTGGGGATTTTAACGTTTATAGAAGCTGGAGATCTGGGTTAGGTCAAAATCCTATGCTTTGGAATTTGCGCCCGAATTTTCACATAAAACATTGATGATGCCTTTGCTTACCACAGTTATGCAGAAATTGCTTTCCTCGTGGTATGCAACATGCCCCAATCAGTGCTTACATCAAAACAAAAACTTTGTCTAAATGCAATGTCCAAGAACTTTCGAGCCAACCTAATATATTGATCGGCTTGACGGTTTTAATCTTGTGTGGGACTGATCGACAAACCTTATGGATTAGTAGTAATGTCATGCATTTTTTAAATTTTTTTTTTGCCTTCCAGAACAGACATACTAGTGAATGACTAGCTGCATAGCTCGAAAACTGTTCTATTCAGATCCATTGACTGTGGTAGCTAGGCTTTAGCATGAACATCGTATCGTATCCCTTACGTACGATTCCTGGAATTCTTCAAACCTTCAGTACTTCTTTTTTTGTGCATCTTTTCGCGATATGAACAAAGCAACGTTCACTGTTTGATAAGAATTAGTACCTCCTATTATTTGTAGGCAATATTTACCAATATCAAGTTTTGCAAGACAAGTGTTGAAAAGTGGAGAAAAATGGTACAATCACGGTGTACGTTGATTTCTGCTACAACGTATGGTCTCCGTCATGAGGGCAGTCTGCATACTGAATGTAATATGATCGTAATGTCACGGTCTTATCCATACTTCTGCATATCTGCATAAAACAGTTGAGCGTTGTTAAGAAAATTATGACTGCAGGGTCCTCTGTAATCGTTGGCCTGAGCCTGATTTGGAACAAGGGTTTATGTAGTGTCGGTAGCATTGTACGATGTTATACTGCGTTTTAAGGAGTTACATGGAATTTGAACTACAATGTCGAGCTGTTGTCAGGAATAGCCTGATTACAAGATCACCGACACTCGCTTTTGTTCGGTTCCATCGTTCTGAATTAATTCACACAAAAATCTAGAAGATGGAGTGCTTGTAAATTTGCGCAGTCAAAACCATTGTCACGGTTTCAAAAATGACCTGTATGTGTTATTTTAACCGGGTAACATTTAAGATGGAAGTAAAAGAAATGTGCTAGGGTTTTCAGTTGAAAAGTATGTTCTACTACTGAGACATTTCTTCCGATCAGTTGAGAATCTGCTTTCTCGCTTCATAGTCTACTGACTGTGAATGTGTGCGATTCACCTCAGAATGTTTCGTGAGCCATACCCAAAGAGGAAGAGGAAGCTTTTCAACAGCTTTGGCAAGCCTAATTATCTGCATTTTTCCGAAATACCTCGCGGTCATGCACTATCTCCGCCCATAAAACTCCTAATTGAAAAAGCAACACTCAAATTTGCTTTCTTCTTCAAGTTGACTATCTCCAGCAGTCTCAAGAAATTCGAAATAAAAAATGAAACATTTCTATTGAAGTTCAGATCAATGTAAGAGTTTGGCGGGGTTAACTGCCGAATCCTCATCATGCGCATAGGAATGAAGCAAAGCATTGGTAATTCACATAAGTGATACTTTCAGCAATCTGCGAGCATAAACTTTGTAACAAACATGATTGGTGGGAAAATACTGCAGAAAAGAACTGTCTTATCAGATATGCGGAGCGCAGAAGAAGAAGAAAAAAGTTGACATACGACATTGGAAACAAAAGGATGAAGCGCGAAAACAAACTTACTTATCGGCCATCAGTGCTTCAGCCTTTTTAGCTAGCAAATTAACTCGTTCGTTTGCTTGCTTCAATTCATCTCGAATCCTCTACAATGTTCATGAGTAGAGCTGTAGTGTTTGTCTGATCAACAAACCTCTATATCATGCTCAAGCTCACTTGTTGGTCAACGCCTCTTGGTAAGCGCTAACGATAGGGTAAATGTGGCCTTCCAGATCTTCCTCAACCTATAAAACAAGTATTTGCTAGACAAATCATTCGTTAAAATACTAGTAAGGACCTGAAAGGGTTACCTTGGAAAGCTTAGTTGATCAAATTACGTTCATGATCTACATTCTCAGTCAAAAATAGTGCTAATCGCGTTAAAACATCGACTCCTATTTTTTTTACGTTATAGAGAAAAAGCAAAGCACATGATTTGGTTTCCATGGGTCGCCAAAGAATACACTGTGCGATTCAAGATGGAAGCTTACCCCAAGTGGACGTAACCATCCGTAACGCCTAACTTCTCGCATTTCGCTTTGCAAGATGCCGCCAAGACTTCCAAGTTTGCCAATTTCTCCTCTATCTTAATTCAAAAAATATGAAACTAATCTTGGAAACGGAAATCTGGCAAAAGTGTTACCTTCGATTCGCGGACTATTTCATCAATGCCTGAACGGAATTTGGTGCGAAAAAGTGTCACCAGTCTCGTTACAGCTGCATCCGCTTCGCTTCTGTCGAGTTTCAAGCCGCATTCCTTTGCATGAAAAGCCTAAAATTGCTAAAAATCAGCTTTAGACATGCTAAGATGGGAGGAAAACCCTTACTTCTTGCAGTGAAGCTTACATTTTGAGAAGACAAGATGAACAACATAATGAGAAAACAATAGAAAATCAACCGCAGCCCGAATATGTTTTGGTTTGAGCAGTCCATTGCAAGTATCATCAACGAGCGTGTCAATCACACTGCTGAGTCGCTCCATTACCTGAGAATGAACTCCGAAACTGAAGACCACGTCTTTTTGAGCAAAATACTCAATTTTCATGAAAGATCACGATTTCACAAGTTACTACATGTCAAATAAAACAACAGGATTCATTTTCGTAGACAAACGATGAAGGTTAACCTGTACAACGATGGATGAACATGATGCACTATAGTGCGGGCTCATTTACGGCAATGGAGCGCGTCATAGGTCAGACGCCGTCATCGATTGATTGGAGCACGCTTTCTTCCTTAAGAAACGGGGCTGCTGAGGCTATTTTTGCCTCTAGCAATGGGGAGAGGAGGAGGTTTGAAACCAAAATTTCAGTATTCACTAAAGTTTAGGTGCAGAGTACATTTATGTAACAATTTTGAAAAAATTATGTGAATTGAGAGTTTTGCCGACCTCAGGTGGGAATTAGGTCGGCAAATGCCGACCTAATTTGGAAATTAGTTAAGGAAACTCTTCATTCACATAAGTTTTTCATAATTTTTCATACTTTGTTACTTAGTCCTATTGCGCATATACACACCAAGTCCCGCGCGATTTCGTTTCCTCTGCGTTGCAAACGAGCCATTTTTCCATTTTCTTGATAGTGGGAAATTTCCAGACAAAAGCTTGCCACAACATTCAGCCACATAATTTTTCAATGAAACTTCTAAGTTAAGCCCTGCAGGCCCGTGTTCATCTACCTACCAAGTTTCATACCATATCGTCATCTGTGCGCTGTAAACGAGCCGTTTGAATTCACATCTTCATTTACCAGTTTTGCGAAATTCTCGGAAAAAATGCTAATTACTCGTTCCGTTCACATAAGTTTTCCATAATTTTTCATACTTTGTTTCCACTAGCCTCTCTCCGTTCGCATACAGAATTTGGTGCCATATCGTTACACACACATTGAGAACTAGTCATGTATGCAGTTACAAATAGCATCGCTTGGGCGACGTCGCGCGGCGGCAATTAGCGACGGCGCGGTTTGACGCGCGCGAACTCCAGTGTTCGCCTGTTGAGGCACATAACATGTCAAGATAAGTAGCGAGCATGAACTACCAATTTTTTTCTGGGGCTCCGCCCCGGACCCCGCAAAAACGATTTCCCCTTTGCTTTTTGGCCCCAAAACGATTTCCAGCTTGGCATTTGCCGACCTCGTGCCAGGCCCTGAGTCAGAAGCGTAGATTCTTCAGAATATTGCGCTTCAATAAAAAATTGACAGCCATTATTTTTGCATCACCTGATAGATAAATCTGACACATGGCGACATACAGTGGACAAAGCTGTAACGCTGGATGCTATACGTTAAACACAGAACAGAAAATCCGCTGACTCGATGGTCAGACATGTTCACAAACTCCTTTGATGAAGTCTTTGAGACGTCACTGAAACGTCGACGTCAGCCAATAAAGCATTGTTACCAATCTTGGTGTAGCTCGAAAACTACTTCTACAAGTCTTTGAAGCGTTCATTGTGTTCCTGGTGCGATAAAAATATTGGTTAACAGTTGAAAGCGACAGGGACGAATGAAGACGTACTGAATCCCTCTCGTGCCAAGCGATAGTCAATTAGAAACATTTGATACAAGTGATTTTTTGCAGCTTACTGCGCTGTTCTGGCTTGCGCTAATCCTTTTTATGCGTATATGTTAGCTCACACTAAACATATTGTCTTCTTCTTTTACATATCTTCATACGAATGTGTTACCCGACTTTAGTAAAATAAACACTTGGGCGCAATCGTACATGAATGACTGCCAGTGTAAGATAGAGCAGCAAGCTAGAAAATTCCAAAGAGTTTTCTATCTTTTCTATTTGTCTATTCCAGATGAAAAAGTGCTCTGCACATTTATGAACCGTGTTCAGAGACATTAATTACGTCTGTTACCGATAAAAGCGGTAACTTAGCGCCTCCGCTGCAGTTGTTGTTTATCTTGGTATCCCGCGGAAAACGGAACGCACTCTGCATAGCTTCGACATATGATCACTGATTCTAGACTTTCGTTGTTTGAGTCAAGCATTGGCAGCCACCGAGTTATGTATCAAGGTTGATGTCGTCAAGTTCAAATTCCTCCTCCATTGCGTTGTATGGCCCACCCGCTTGTTTTGCGGCGCATTTGCATTTGCCTTCGTTTTCGGTACTCGATGCCTCCTATTGAAGTAGTGAGCATTCTACCGGGAAGTAGAGTGCTCACTACTGGTCTTCAGTTCCCTCGTTTGCAGGGTCCCTGACAGATTTGCCTCCGTGTGGCGGACAGCGAAGCCCTAATTGTCCTGCTGTTATGACCAAGTTCTTGTTGAGAGAAAAGATTTTGGCAGAGCTGCACCCATTCCGGAGAAGGAGAACGACCTGACCATTCTAACAGGGAACGACTGATTCTAGCTCAACTGCTTTGTACTTTTTTCATCTTTCAAGGCACCCTTGTATATTATTCAAATAAATAAGTATTAGGATGGTGCAAAAGTTTTGTCAGTTTTTTCAATCCATCGTCAAACACGCTAGAATGAAGATAAACGAACACTTCAAAATGTATCCGATGCAGAATTTCTTCTTCTTTCCAGCTGCTAAACTCCATTGCGTTTTGTTGCGAAAGTGACGAGATATTTGCTGGAAATTACAATCACTCGTTTTTACCATGTCCAACTTTCGCTAATTTTTAAAATTTTTGTATGAGAGTTTCGGAGGAGCCCTAGTAACCACCAGGTAGGGCAAACCTTTTGCCAACTTATGCAATTTTTTTCTTTTTCTCAGCTGCTTTTGCAGATTTCTGCTAAATAATTTTGTAAAAGTCTTGTGTTTTGGAGAAATCGCATAACCTGTTATTGCACCAAAACACTGGAAAACCTACACAATACTAAAGTTCAACACTCGATTACTACTACCGCTACCATCACAAATACATGAGCGATTTTCGCTTCAAATTAAGAAGATTTTGAAACACAGGTTACGGCAGTGCGCATTCCTGAAATTGAGAAATACTGCAATTTTCTCCACAAATCTTGCCTGTCTCTGCAAAAAAAGACAAATGCTAGAAGGAGGAGAAAAAGTTGCAAAAAAGTCGATTGGTGACTAAAATGCTTAACATTTTATGTTCTACGAGCTCGAAATAGGCTGAATCGAAAATTTGGTCACTTCAAAAAATAAATCGTAGAAATCTGAAAGGCAAGCCGTAGGGCTACAAAAAATTGCATAAGTTGGCAAAAGGTTTGCCCTATCAGTTGGTTTTTAGAGCTCCTCCAAAAGTCTCATACAAAAATTTTGAAAATTAGCGAAATTTAGACATGGTAAAAACGAGTGATTGTGTTGGAGCGCCTTGATCGCGGAGATCGTGACTTTGGCGGGAAAAGGGCCCGCTTTGACCCTCTCAGCAGGGTATAAATACCGGTGAATAGGGGGGAGCAGGCAGAGCGTGAAGAGAGCGCTCCAGGGAGTTTAAACGAGCCGTCGAAGAGAAGCGGACCTCCCCCCTTAGATAGAAGAAAGCTAGAATACCCTGCTGATAGGGCCAAAACGGGTCAGAAGGACCCCTAGTCGTTGTTTAGTGTTGATTGTTCAAGTTGTTCGAGTTGTTCAAGTTGTTCGAGTTGTTGTTCTTTGTTGCCATCAAGATAAATATCTTTATCCTAACCGTGTCCTTATTGATCGATCCGGTTCAAACCGCCAATACCACTAGACAACCCCCGTTACATGGGGGCCGAGCCAGCCGGATCTGATCGATTGACAAGTCTTACACGGTTGGATTATTGATATTAAAAAGTGAGGCGGCAAAGAACACACACAACGGCCTAAGAGGGCGAGGAAAAGAGTAGAATAAGATAAACTATCTTCATCTCTTCACGTAGAGCCTTATCATACAGCTCGTATTGATTGATTATCATCGCGTCGTATCGTTATCGACCGATTTCGCGTATTCATCGCGTGTATTGAGTGGTTGCAAGCAAATAACAAGTGTGTTTTCAGATAGTATACAATAGTATACAATAGCAGCGGTGGCAATGGAGCCGATAGAAGCCCAGGCTGGAGACAGTCAGGTAAGACCCACAAGCAAGGGGAGTATTGAGGAAAAGATAGGCTTCATAATGAAGGAATTGGGGCTGCTGCCGGGCCTAGTCAGCAGGCACTTGAACGAAAGTAGGGCCGCGCTAAAATATAGGGCGCCTTTGGAGGAAGAATTGAATATTAGAGTAGACACAATGATGAATTGTTTGGAAAGCCTCGCAGCAGAAATAAAAGGGGGTCTCACTAATAAGATAGATGTGATAGAAAACACATCAAGTGAGCAATTCAAGGCAGAGCCATTTCAGGCCAAGGCCTACCAGCCACATGCACAGGACCGCTCGTCAGAAGAGAGGGATACCCTACAAGAGGACGTGGAGATGTTGCAAGGTGAGCACATCAGGCCCTCTGATCCAGAAAGCGGCAATGAATACTTCACTCAAACGTGGAATATGAAGAGGCCGTGGAGCGAACAAAGATTCGGGACTGGACAGAGGTCCGAAGAGCACTGGAGGCAATTGGAGCCGCACAACAACAGAGCACCCCAGCCCAATCAAGGTACGGATCAGTTAGTAGATTATTTTCAAAGCATGACGTTCGCTGATCCAGGGGTCTATAGGGGGCATGAGAATGAAAACTTCGATAGGTTTATCAGAAGGTTCACTAGGAAATACGGGTCAATAGTTAGGGACGAAAGGATGCTAATAGAGCTCCTGGGGGATGAACACTTGGAAGGAAGGGCGAGGTCCCTATTCCTGAGTATACCCATGGCGGTAAAACGCCAGGGGTCTGACAGGGTAGTGAGGGAAATGGCCTCACTACTGGCCTGCGACTCAACAGCTGCTAGGTTGAAAGCGCTGACAGCCTTAAGAAATATACGCTTAAGGCCAGGCCAAGAGGTCGCGGACTTTTGTGTCGCCCTCGAAAACCTAGCAAGGAAGGCCAATCCTCAATGTACCATTGAGGAAAGATCGATGGAGTATGCGCAGATTCTGTTAGAGAATCTGACATC